AGATCTCTCTCATTTTCTCCTCGTCCTCCCCCTCCTCCCAACCTCTACCCGCCCAGCTTTCGATTTTCCACTGCGGCGTCCCCTGCGGCGCCGGGTCGATGACGCGCTCGCGAACGCTCCACGCACACGGACGCTCACGCGCATGCGCACTGGCCGGGTGGGCGGGATCGGCGAGGCGGCGCAGGTTCGCGGAGCGTCCGGGCGCCATGTCCGCCGGGGCAGTGGTGGTGCTGCTGTCCTGTCTGAGCTGCTGCGGCTCGGCTCTGTGGAGGTAGAGACGCCAGTGGAGGACGGGCTCCCGGGGCCTCGCAGGGGTCCCCCTCCCAGCGCCTCAGAGTCCGCTGCCACGCGCCCGCGCAAACAACCGTCCGGGCCCTCAGCTCCCCGCCCCCCCCACGTCCCCCGGGTACCAGCGCCCCACCGCCTCTGCCTTTCTGGTGCCTCCAGGCGCGAGATGAGGGGGCGCTGTTGGGACTTGGCTGCCGTGGAGTCGCGGTAACTTACTGTCGCTGAGCCCCCAGGAATCCGGAGACTCTGCTTTTGCCCAAGAGGAGAGGAGCAAAAATTCAAAAATTGCCACAGAGATTGGGGATGGGGGCGGGGAATTCACACAGCGGTTCTCAACCTTCTGGCCCTTTAAATACAGTTCCTCAGGTTGTACCCAACCGTAACATTATTTTCGTTGCTACTTCATCACTGTCATGTTGCTACTGTTATGAATCGTCATGTAAATATCTGACATGCAGGATGGTCTTAGGCGACCCCTGTGAAAGGGTCGTTCAACCGCCAAAGGGGTCGCGACCCACAGGTTGAGAACCACTGCACTAGGATAACTGGGTCTCCAGTGGTTGAAGGACGTGTATTAAAATACCCTAGAAAGGTTTTCACCGCAGGTTAAAATTCGGGGGGTTAACCAGAAAGAAGCACGCCCTGCGAATGTTCTGTTCCATGGAGGTTTTGCTCTGACAGTAATTCCTGCTCTCCCACGTTCCCAGCGTAAGAGCACCAGCGAGCAGCCAAACCATCACGGAGGTGTCGATGGGGGACCCAGGCATCTCACTGGGGGGCGGGGGAGGGGGGTTGAGGGGGCAAATTATACCAGAGGCCATTGCAGAGGTCAGTGAAGTCATGAGAAAGCGAAAAGGGGCATTCTATTTCTAACACGTGTGTGAGCCTTCGTTTTCTTCTTCTATGAAAGGTGAGAAAAACCCATCTCCTGGGGGTGGGGTGCAAAAGCCGTGGTACAGACCCCGCGGGTGGAATATTACTCGGCCATGGAAAAGGGAATCTTACCCATTTACAACAGCGGGGATGGACCTGGGAACAAGCATGTCAAACTTCGAAGGGCTGAACGCGGGCCGAGTAAACAAGGGTGTGAGTGGCTGTGGCCGCAAAAACACAACAGGCTTCCATTTTCCATAGAAACGTGGTTTTATTTTCGATAGAGACATGCGGGAATAACAAAAGGG